TGAAAGCAAAGAAATCTCCATAAATTATGCTTGTACTAATGAATTGTGGGATCGAAATGAAATAATCATTAATGACATATTCGCATTCGTAGTAGCCACTGAAATCATATTAAGTGATGATAGTGAGCCCTACTCTGTTGATGAATGCAAACAGAGACAAGATTGGCCTAAGTGGAAAGATGCAATCCAAACAGAATTAAATTCCTTAGAAAAGCGAAGTGTTTTTGGACCAGTAGTCCAAACTCCACTGGATGTAAATCTCGTGGGTTACAAATAGGTATTCACAAGAAAGCGCAATGAGAAAAACGAGATTGTGAGATATAAAGCAAGACTCGTTGCACAAGGCTTTTCACAAAGACCTGGAATTGATTATAAGGATACGTACTCTCTTATAATGGACGCAATTACGTTATGTTACTTAATAAGTTTAGTGGTTTCAGAAAAACTTGACATGCGACTTATGGATGTCATCACCGCGTATCTATATGGAGAATTAGATATTGACATATACATGAAGGTCCCAGAAGGACTTAAGTTGCCTGAAGCAAATAACAAATCATGAGGTATGCTCTCAATCAAATTAAGGTGATCATTGTATGGGCTGAAACAATTTGGACGAATGTGGTATAATCGTCTCAGTGAGTATTTGATCAAAGAAGGATATACCAACAATGTCATTTACCCCTGTGTATTCCTTAAGAAATTCAATTCTAGATTTGCTATAATGGCAGTATATGTCGATGACATGAACCTAGTTGGAACTCCTGAAGAGCTCAATAAAATATTGAATATCTGAAAAGCGAATTTGCAATGAAAGACCTTGGAAAAACAAAATATTGTCTTGGCCTGCAGATCGAGCATTGTGCTAGTGGAATTTTGGTCCACCAATCAGCTTATATTGAAAAAATCCTGAAATGATTTGGCATGGACAAAGCTCATCCACTCAGCGCGCCAATGGCTATTCGTTATTTGGACATTAAGAAGGATTCATTCCATCCAAAAGAAGATGATGAAATGGTCCTTGATCCAGAAGTAACATATATGAGTGCAATAGGTGCTTTATTGTATTTAGCACAATGTACAAGACCTGATATAACTTTTTCAGTCAACTTGTTAGCAAGGTATAGCTCTGCTCCAACAATTCGTCATTGGAAATGAGTCAAAGATGTTTTGCAATACCTTCGTGGGATAACATAAATAGGTCTCTTATTCTAAGAGAAATCCACAAATGACTAGATCCTTGTTGGATATGCAAATGTTGGTCTTCTCTCTGATTCGCATAAAGCCCGCTCACAAACTGGATATGTGTTCATTAATGGAGATACATCAATCTCATGGTGCTCAACGAAGCAAACATTAGTTGTTACATCTTCAAATCTATCAGAAATACTTGCTTTACATGAAGTAAGTTGTGAATGTTCTTGATTAAGATCAATGATCCATCATATTTGGAATTCATGTGGTCTACCTTCAAGGACAGACACTCCAACTATCATCCATGAAGATAATGCAGCCTTTGTTGCCCAAATGAAGGAATCATCAAGGGCGATCAGACTAAACACATATCTCCAAAGTTTTTCAATGCACATGAGCTTTATAAGACTAAAGTTATTGAAGTCAGACAAATCCGCTCCAATGAAAATCTGGCAGACTTGTTCACCAAATCCCTACCAAAGTGCACGTTTCAGAAGTTAGTGCAGAGTATCGAATTATGTCGACTTACCAATCAATTAAACTTAAAGCATGCGGAATCAGGGGAATATACAATTCAGGAGGCGCATCCATAATACATGCATGCTGTACTCTTTTTCCTTCAATTAGGATTTTTCCCACTGGGTTTTTCTTACCAAGGTGTTAACGAGGCAACATGAGCATACTTAACACTATATCAACAATCCAGGTAAAGTTATACTCTTTCCTTCGCTATGGTTTTTTCCCACGAAGTTTTTTCGAGCAAGGTTTTAACGAAACAACTGATGTTGATATGTGGGCATCCAAGGGGAAGTGTTGTAAATATTAGTGGATGAATGAATGCCCACATAGTAATGTGGACTTGGGAAAATAATGATGATTGTATTTGTGTGATACTTTCAAAAAGTGTGTGCTATGTTTTTCAAGATGTAATTATTATGTTTGTTTGGAATTGCTCTATAAATAGAGCGCTCCATTTGCTATCAAAATACACTGCGAAAAGAAAAGATCAATAACATCAACATCTCTCCCTCCCTCTTTTATCTATCATTCTCTTGTGTTATAGTTATAGTGTGATATTTTACACCTACTTTGCTCTTGTCACTAACAAAAGTTATCTTTCTAACATCTTACTATTTATAACAAGATCCATTATATTCAAAAGTTGTTGAACGTAAAGCCTTTTGAAAATTAGAGCAATTTGTTTGAGCTAGCAAGGCTCGTTGCAACTTTTATGGTGGTTTATCTATTGCTTCTATTGCATTCTTTTTTTCTTCTTCAAGTTTTCAAAAGTTAAAAGTACTGCAACGAAACTGAGACAATGTATAGGGTAGAGAAGGGATTGGGAGTACAATATGTGCACCATCATCCATCTACAAATATTACATTTGCTTATTAGAAATTGGGAAAGAATGATTAGCTATACGCTTAGTAAAGGAACAGGGACCAAGAAAAATGCATCTCACTTTTTCCTTCTTCAATAGTACAATCTTTATATTTTAACAAATTTTGTACGTTAAGTTGTTAGATTGTAACATATATGAGTGCACCATCATCCATCATATTCAAAAGTTGTTGAATAGTGCAGCATCATCCATCATATTCAAAAGTTGTTGAATAGTGCACCATCATCCATCTAACAAGATCCATTATATTCAAAAATTGGGAGTACAATATGTGCACCATCATCCATCTACAAATATTACATTTGCTTATTAGAAATTGGGAAAGAATGATTAGCTATACGCTTAGTAAAGGAACAGGGACCAAGAAAAATGCATCTCACTTTTTCCTTCTTCAATAGTACAATCTTTATATTTTAACAAATTTTGTACGTTAAGTTGTTAGATTGTAAATGTATTGTTATTATTTATTTGGTGACTAGCTGATTGAGAATAATGAGCTCGAAAACTCAAATCTAGACAAAAGATTAATGAAGAGCTTGGCTTTACTACCAAAGTGCCTATGTGGGGACTGTGGTCTACATGTTCATGCATGCAGCAAGTATTTAATTTAATTTCAGCACCTAACTTTCCCATCCCCACTTTGTTCATATTCGATTCGATCGAACACCTAATATTAATTAAAGTAATAATCTTGCTGCTAATGGACCACTAAGTATGTAACAATATTTTTGTTATTTAAATGTTTTTTGGTTAGCTAGCTAGCTAGGCCAAGAAGCAGGATTATGAGGACAGAAGACTAACTAGACCATGAGCTGGTTTGGTATTGCTGTGCTTTAAAAAAAAGCCGCTTCTGCTGTGCTGTGAGAATAAGCAGCTGTGAAATAAAGCAGCAGAGTGTTTGGTAAACTTTTTTGTAAAAGTGCTTTTGAAAAAAAAAAAACAGTGTTATAGTGTTTAGTAAACTTTTATGTAAAACAGATGTGAAAAAAAGCCAGTTTTTCAAAGCTGGGTTTTGCAGCTTCTTGTTTTTGGCTTTTTTTCACCCAAAACTGTGAAAAAAAGCTGAAGCTGAATGTTTACCAAACACAAAAACAGAACCCAGCTTTTTTTGATACCAGCTTTTTTCAGAATCACCTCAGTACCAAACCAGGCCCATGTCTTTGGAAATCATCGTTTACCATTGAGTTTTTCTTACATCGACGAATTGTCCGGTCATGTGTTTGTGCAGCAAACATGCATGCATGTGAAGTGGGTGAGAGAGCACGTAGTACACACGCGCTAACAATTCCTGAATATTGATTTACGTAAAATTCACAATGAATCAACAATTTTAATTTATTCTTGCGTATGTGTAGCTATATAAATGATTAACTGTAGCATTCTTCTAAAGAGATATGAGAAGGGATTAGCATACAAATATACCCGATTGTTCTGACATACTTAATTCCCCCCTGATGGTATGTTCCAGATGTGTCTTTTGGGGTTAATTTCCTTGGTCCCCAATTACCCTAGTCAGTTAGTTCCCACCACCAACACAAAAATAACAGAGAGGGGTCAAAGGCCACCATTGCAGAATTGTACCAACCAAGAATTAACAACGCCACATTGTAGCATTACTATGTCGTTTTCACTTACTTGCGCCATAATACCATGTCGTTTTCACTTACGCAATGTTTCATAGCATTACGTACCTAGGGTTTGCTTTTATTTAACAGTCCAGTCCAGTCATCCAAGTTACGATTCTTAATGAGATCTGACCGTTTGCAAGCTTTGCCAATTGCCGTATCTGAACTTCACCTCACCCAACAAACTATATCAGAAAACTCCAAAATCACTTGACCCCAAAACAAAAACCTTGTGATCAGCCATCACACCAAAACCCACAATCCCGACCGTTTTTAACATCCAACCTTTTCACAACGGGAGTGTTTCTTTACTGTCATCGGCTATAACTCTCTTAGACCATTTCTAAAAGAGATGTCAAAAATATCACATAGACATATAACAATGATAAATGATACACTACTAACAAGTTATCACTGGTAGTGGAAAAACCGACAAGAAACCCCAATTACTATCAAATTTTTGGTAAAAATCTGACATCAAATTGTGCAATGTTGGATAGGAGAACCGACGTCGTTGCTAGTGTCACGAAAAGGGTATTGACTTCGGTTAGTCCCCTTAATCCGCCACCAAGAAGCAAAGTAATATAAAATAAAAAAGAACAACAACGTCGGTTAAAAGTGACATCTAAACTTACGTCGGTTAGAAGCGACGTTGAATTTTGACATGATGCCGGTCCTAACCAATGTCAAGCAACAACTAAAGAATTAAAATATCAAACCCATTGTCGGTCCTAACTGACATTACATAACATCTAGATACATAAAATAATTATTATGATCTCGTCCATAAGCGACCCCAAATATATTAATAAAAAAAAATCTATGTCAATTTTTAATTAATAATAATTTAAAAAATTATATAAAAATAATTCCCACCATATGTCAATAAAAAACAAACAATTTAAAGTAAACTTCATATTAAAAATAAAATTTCTACCAACTATACATTAAATTTAAAATTAACTACAATTCTTAAAAATGTACAACACATACAAATTATTCCTGAACTCTTGCAAAAGATTTTGAACCGACTGTGTGGTTCATAGTTTTCAACTGCCGATTATGCTTATTTTTTGCCGCAATCTCCTGAAAAAAAAAATTTATTAGACAAATTTCAAGGTATAATAAAATAAATCATGAAATGTTTACCTTTGTTTTTTCTTTATTCCAGTATGCCACCATCGGAATATTTCTGTAATCTCTAACCTCTGCCACTACATGTTTCGAAAACACACTAGAATTATCATGAATGCATTTTCTAGACGAATCAAATGAACAAGGTTGTTCTTTCCAATTTGGAATTGAGGGTCCGCGTATCCGTTGAGTTGATCCTTAAAAATACATAAAAAACAATTAAAACCAAGAAACAAAAATAAATTTTCAATTTCAGCATAAAACTAGTTAGAATACAAAACAAAAACTAAAATTAATAATCCTAATAATTTAAAAATGAACCACCTTCGAGCTCTTCCTCTTCGAATTGGAGTTCCTCATAATGTTGATCTTCAAAATGGTGATCCATAGCAAATGGGGAAGGAGAAGAGTAAAAACTGAAAAGGAGGAAGAAAGGGACGCAAGGATGAAGTGGGGAAGGAGAAGAAGAAAGACTGAAATTTGGGGAGAAATGAAAGTACGGATGAAATGGGAAAGAGAGGGGTTTGAATATGGGTAATTAGTTGGCGTCAGTTTAAACCGACATTGATTGACTGACGTCGAATTAAAAGTCATTGGTGTAGAATTAAATGTACATGGTGTCGGTTAAAAACGACGCCAACCTGACACACTTTACTGATATTCACGTCGAGTTAAATGAACCAGTCAACTTTTTGACAATCTCTATTGAAAAGCACGGCGTCGGTTTAAATTAATGTTTGTGTTGGTCTGAACCGACACCAGCTTCTGTCACATATTTTGAAATTCAGGTATTGTCGGTTTAATGAAACTCGCGTCAAATTAAAAAATGACAACGTCAGTTAAAACCGACACTAAGTCTAACACTTACGTCTTTTCCATCCATTTCCTCGTGCAAAACAAGTGGGAGATTTCCCATCTAATATTTCAAATTATCCGACCAATGCCATCGACTCACCACCGACTCTACGAGTTCGCAAAAGCTGCACTCACCAGAATCTTCGTCCACCCTTACGCCACGGTCCGTCTCCGCCCTAGAAATATCAATCTCTGCATTTTGAAGGTGTGCGAATTGTACTGCGGCGGAGGAGTCGACGCCGAGAAGTGGGACGATACTCAAATCTACATCGGAATCGGTACTGTTCATTTCCTGTTTCTTGCAACTTCGTATTGTTTCTGTGTATGTTTGTCCGTAATTTGTGAGAATTAACAATGGCGGTGCTTGCCGTTGGAATTGGTAGATATTTCATCTTCGGGAATAAGCCAGAGAAGATAAGCGTGGGACAGCCAGAGGAAGGCTTACACTGCTGACCTCTTTGAGCTTGACCCTTGCATGGTACGGCAGCCTAGCCTCTCTTTCTTTGTTTCTCGCTTTCTTCTTTCTCTTTGTTGGTTTCGCATCGTAAGTCGAAAATTCAGAATCAGGGTTATTTTGGGTTTGTTTTAGCATGAATTCAGGGTTATTTTGGCTTTGTTGGTTTCTTCTAATAACGGTTGTTGAGTGACGTTTATCTAGGATTCATCTAATATGAAATATCTAGATCAGAAATTTATATATTTGGGTGAAACTTTTAGTTGCTTGCTTTGGATAATTTTTGGTCTCTTCAATTTCGCATTCTTTGACCGTGGAATACTTTGACAGGAAGATGTAGAGATGCATTTGAAAGGTAAGGCAAACACTGCTGATTTAGTTTGCTGCTTGCAGAATTTGCAGGTTAATAATTCAAAATATTTTTAAAAATTAAAACCCATGTCGGCTACAACCAATGTCGGCTTTGAAAATATTTCTTTTAACCGATGCTAACATTATGTTGGTTACAACCAACACTGGGTTTCAAAATTTTTAATAAAAATTAAAACCTATGTTAGCTACAACTGACACTGGCTTTGACAATATTTAAAAACTATCATTAGTGTTGGCCAGAAGTGACACCAGTTGTCTTTTAACCAACGCTAACGTTATGTTGGTTAAAAGTGACACGGTTTTTTTTAATGCGACATCAGTATTAAAAATATTAAAATCAATGTCAGTTATAAGCGACATTAATAGTTTATGTCGGTAATAACCGACAGTAACTCCGACACCATATTAAGTGAGTTTCAGAATGTCTTATCTGCCACTATGTTGTATAAAAGTGACACCACCCACAGACACAATAAGGCCCTTTTGTAGTAGTGTACCATTTACTACAACTGAGATGTCAAAACTGACATAAAAAGAAGGCTATGCTGACATGAACAAAGAGATGTCAGTCAAATTTGAAGCTGCTTTCAAATATGATTTTGCTATTTCCAAAGGCATTCTATTTGACTTACTTTAAATGCTAGCATATTTAAGTATTATATTCTTATTTTTAAACCAACAACAATCCAACTTTTATTATTTTTGTTCAAAAAAAAAACATAAAGCAATAAATTTTGGCATATCAGGTGGAAAGAAAATATTGACAATATGTAAAATTGCCAAATTAGCCATCAAATTGAAATTTAATGCTTTGAATTTGACTGTCTATTTTGGAGATGCTCTTAAAAACTCTCTTTTTTCGGTCATAAAGTGCTAAATTATATAACAAGAGAGATCGATATATATTTTCATACAACCGGTAAAAACGAATAAAACTTCATGCAGGTGGTGATGTTTTTGACTTGAGTGTTTTCTTTCGGTTATGGGTTTTGGATACATATTAGATTTACTCACCCATCTTCCCTACCTTATCACCATGATCGTCCTATAATTAGGCTGCTTAAAAATGTGTCGATTTTTATTGGCCAAATTGCAATGCCTAGATTACTATATAGATCTTGCGAGTTTACGGACCAGATCAAAAGTAATGTCACCACTAGTGAAATTATGTCTCTTTGCTTGAATGAAGCACCGAAAGTTGAAGCTAATACAAATTTCTTCTTCATGCATAGTAAAAAAAAATGCACATAGACATAAGTGGTGAACCTTGAATTGCAAGAAAGAGAGCCTGATTGGCCGCTTTCAGGGAATGTGTTTGCTGGAGCCAGCATCCATTACATATATATGGTCGTTAATTTGGCAATAGATTATTAATCTGGATATGTAAGACATTCCTAAGTTGAAATGCAGAAGCACATTTGCAAAAACATCCTCGAACTTACCTTGAATAACAATGTAATGGCCATATTTATAGTAAATTTATTGGAGTCGTGACACTAAGCAGTCATCTTCTTGGTTATGTGTACGAAACTGGATGCACCACTATACTATTGGGCACTGACTTAGATTTGTGCACTATAAATTTAGAGACGCAAAAAATTTTCGATGACTTAATCATTATAGTGTATGCTAATTAGGTAACAACCCATTTTCATAGCAAGTATGGGCATCATAGACCTACCGACTAATTAAGATTTGATTACTGATGATTTGGATGAGATCCATTAATCCCCACGTCACAATGATGCTTCAGTTGTACGTAATTTTCCTGTGGATTGGGAGCGTATGTGTGATACCTACTTTTGTATTTTTTTTTTTTTATAAATATTATGTTTTAAAAGTTCACATTTAAGATCACTCACATGATGAGAGAACCTAAGAAAATTAATTTTATATGCAACTCGATGCATGCAAATTTTTTTATCCTAACTAAACTGTAACATCCCACATCGACCAACAGAGAAGGAGTGATATGTCTTATATATACATGCCAACTTCTATATAGCACGAGACATTTCGGAAGTTCACTGGCTTCGGGTTCCATTGGAATTCCGAATTTAAGCGAGTTCGGGCGAGAGCAATCCTAGGATGGGTGACTCACTGGGAAGTTCTCGTATGAGTTCCTAGAAACAAAACCGTGAGGACGTGATCGGGGCCTAAAGCAGACAATATTATGCTACGGCGGAGTCGAACCAGGAACGTGGTGAAGCTCGGATTGGGTTGTGACATAAACTCCTCCATAAGACTAAGAAGACATTTGGCAGGAACAAGGCTCGTGATGCTATTACTTACATCTCATGCATGTTTTGGTTCCAACTTCTGATTAAGATTCTAGCCACACAGTCCTCTCTATTTTCTCTCTCTCTCTCTCTCTGCACTAAAAGAGAATCATAAGCACAAAAGAATCCAATGTGCTACCACCAGATTGCCTTATTACTCACTCATCTGTAGATTGCATGTGACAAACATATAAGAAAAAGGGTTGGTACTTACTAACACTTACATGCATTTTGTCCTTTAGTCTCATACATGCTTAGTTACAAAGTACCAAATCTCATGAGTGCACCTTTGATAAGTGATGATTTTTTTTTCTTTTTTTTTTTAATGATTTAGACAATAATCAACTGGCATGATAATTAATTCTCTAACAATCATGACAATCCAATTCTCATAATGTTATATAATATATATAGTTATGGAGTCATATTTTATTCATATATATATATAGAGAGAGAGAGAGGAAGTTTTTAAGGAAAAAAATCTTCATTTTTATATGAAAATAGAAATTAGTTATGGGATTCACACCACATCAAATTTTAACGATCCAAACCGTTCATTTTTCAAGTTATACCTCAAAGATAATCCTTGTAAAATATTAGCCAAATAAAAAATATTTAAAATATCTAATTGGATTCAAAGAAATAAACGAATACTTTATTATATAAGAAACAATGAAATTTGATCTTGATAATTAAATAGGCAAATGATTTCGGATTGAATTAAATTTTTGAAATGATGATCTATGAATCGAGACTAACAAAATAAATAATTCGAATCGTTAAAATTTGATGTGAAGTAGATCCCATAACTAATCCCTATTTAAAAAAAATAAAATAAAATAAGAATCCCTTTACGTGTGCGCGCGTGTATATAGTTTTTATTTGAAAATGGTTCTGTCTCCAATTCGAGTACTCCAAGCTCCACTAAAATTTTGTGGTATACTTGTTGTACATACCACGTGCCACGAACATGGAAAAAAAGTTGGTACTAGCAGAGTAAATTAGGGTTCCCAAAAAAAAAAAAATATATATATATATTGCTTACAACGGTCAGATATCTGACCCCATGAACCCCATCACAGGTACGTTTCAGCACTTAGATCGTATTTAAAAGTGTGCTCATCTTTTTTGTCACTTAATACTATAGTTTAGCGGTACTTTTTTTTTGTCATTTAATACTATAGTTTAATGGTATTTCTCTTTACTGGTAAGTAAGAGATCTTAGATTCAATTCTCGCCAAAGGCGAATTTGAACCACATTAGTGCTAGTCTATTGTGCGTTTAGTCCACTCTAACATCGTTAACTTGTAAGCATTGTTCTAAAAATCCCCGCCTAGGCGCTAGGCAGCGAGTCACGGTCCCGATTAATGCCTAGACGTTTGAAATTAAGAAAGGGCGCCTAGACTAGCTAAAGCGCCCGTCTAGACTGCCTAAGCACCTGCCTAGACCTGACTAGGTTGCGACTCACTTAGACAGAAAATAGATAACTTTCAATTTGCATTTAATTTTTTTTCAATAAATTGTAAGAGACTTGTTGAATACTTAAATGAGCACACACTATATGATTGTTTCCCATGTTTTCATTATGTTCCAATACTTCATAATACATATGTCATTCTATTTTGTAGTTTATGATGAAATTATATATATTTTAAGTATAAACAGA